GTGTGTGTGTGTGTGTGTGTGTGTGTGTGTGTGTGTGTGTGTGTATGTGTGTGTGTGTGTGTAAATTTCATTGTCCTGGCCTTGAGGGAGGAGGCTGCAGCCCATGCTGTATGCAGGGGCTGTGGGAGGGGAAGCTGGGGTTCCCTAGCACTCTCCCTTCCTCTCCTCTGCCATCCTCCGGCCCCTGTGTCCTCACCTCAGAGCCCCTGCCCCATCCCGCCCCCCCACTTTCCTGCCCTCCCCCTGCAGTCAGGCTCTTACAATCTCTCAGGTGTAGTGTGGTGCACAGGCTGGGAGCTGGAGCACCTGGTCAAATCCAGCTTTTTGTGGTCCTGGAATGCCAGTGAGCTTTCCTGTGCCTCAGTTTTTCCATCTCTATAATGGGGATAATTACTCACCTCATAGCACTGTTCTGAATATTCAATGACTTAATATATACATAAAGAGCTTAGAAGAGTGCCCGACACAGAGTGGATGCTCCATAGAAGTTAGCAGTCCTTGGGACTTCCCTGGTGGCTCAGTGGCTAAGAATCCACCTGCCTTGGGGCTTCCCTGGTGGCGCAGTGGCTGAGAGTCCGCCTGCCGATGCAGGGGACATGGGGTCGTGCCCCGGGCCGGGAAGATTCCACATGCCGCTCTATAAATTGTAGTGTTCTTGGCATAAATATGAATTATATAGTTTTTTTAATATGTGAAGTAGTTACTAAATATTTACTTTTTACTAAGGTTATGTATTTATTGCCAAGATAACTATGGAAGAATTTTCTGGGGAAATTCACCTTAAAATTTTGAGATAATTCAAGAAATGTCTATAGAAGGTTGATTGATAATCTTAATTTTTATGGTTAGTCCTTTCAGTTTTTATAAAGCTCCTCATTTATCTGTTTTGGGGAAGCCCAAAGTTTAAGTAGTTGGGACCTTATATTTGTTTTACCCTTATTTTTCCCATTAAGTAATGGTTTAAGAATACATCAAGCATCTTGATTTGTTGTTAAATAACTAGTATTTATGGGATTCCATTAAATTAATTTTAATAAGCCTACCAGGTTCTTGTGAAAACCCATATTGGGATGTGTTTGATTTGTTTCTTTGTTTTAATTCAGTGTTTAACCCTAAGGGTGTTATATATCCATAAATACAATATTATGAGAAGACATAGTGTGGGATAGGGACTTCTCTGGTGGTGCAGTGGTTAAGAATCCACCTGCCAATGCAGGGGACATGTGTTCGATCCCTGGTCTGGGAAGATCCCACATGCTGCAGAGCAACTAAGCCCGTGTGCCACAACTACTAAGCCTGTGAGCCACAACTACTGAGCCCGCATGCCACAACTACTGAAGCCCGTGTACCCTAGAGCCCATGCGCCACAACTGCTGAGCCCACACGCTGCAACTGTCGAAGCCCACGCGCTCTAGCCCGCATGCTGCAACTACTGAGCCCACGTGCTGCAACTACCAAAGCCCACGTGCCTAGAGCCCGTACTCTGCAGCAAGCGAAGCCACCACAGTGAGAAGCCTGTGCACCGCAACGAAGAGTAGTCCCTGCTTGCCACAACTAGAGAAAGCCCATGTGTAGCCACGAAGACCCAATGCAGCCCAAAATAAATTTTAAATTAAAAAAAAAGTAAACAGGAACAAGTTAAAAAAAAAAAAAAAAGAAGTTAGCAGTCCTTATTCTTCATCATCATTATTACCCAGGACCCAGGCCAGGAGCTTCTCCTCCTCCAGAAAGCCTTCCTGGCCTGCTCTGGCCCCGGGACCTCTGTAGCCCACCTTAGAAACCCTCTATTCTGACCACTTAAACATAATAACAATGTGCTTAGTCAGCTACTCTGTGCCACGTGTTTTCTGTTATCTCATCTCATTTAAGCCTCAGGGCGCTTCTGTGAGGCAGGATGATGCTCTTTTTACCAAGAGGACATCGAGACCTCTGGCAGCCAAAGAGTTTGCCCAGGGCCCAGAGCAGAGGGATTGGGTGTGGCCAGAGCCCAGGGGGTGAGGATGGGAGGTCACAGTGCCCTAGGGAGCCACTGCTGTTTGCAGTGAGAAGGGGGTGATTGGGGTGGGTTCCCCATTTTGCAAAGCTCACTCACCGTAGCTAATGGGGGCATGTCACTGACATGGGGGAGGAGTGGATGGGGATGATGGTGCCTTCTGGTGTCTTGGGCATCTGGAAGTCATTGAGGGCATCTGGTGTCCTGAATCTTGAGGGACCTGTGGCAGGTCTCTCACCCTCTCTGTGCCTCAGTTTCCCCACCCGTACCCTGTGCTGGGGCTACCCATGGGTGAGCTGCTGTAGGGCACCACTGCCCTCATCGACAGTCACAGCTCCTGCCTGTGTGAGACCCAGCTGCTCCCGTGTTTGGTCCAAGCCAGGCTGGGGGAGGGCAGGCAAGCACCACGGCCACAGGGAGACCTGCAGGCTCACTGCCCTCCAAGGGTGATGGGGACAAGGGAGCCTGCCCTGGCTGTTCTGGGGCCTCAGGGCACAGGGTCCAGCAGTACAGTAGTGAGGGCAGCAGACCTTCAGGACCGTCCCCCGGGCCCTCCACAAGACAATCTCCTGGCGTGATGGAGTGAGCACTGGGCCAGGGGCCCGGAGACCTAGGCGTGCCCAGGTGGGCTCTCTGGGCCCCAGGGCACGCCTAGGTATGCTGTGGTTCCCACCATACACCTGTGAGGATGGTGGGCCTCATGGGCTCCCCCACTCTGAATATTTCGTTGCAGGCCGCGAGCGCATTGGGCAGGACTCGGCGTACGAGCAGGAGGGGAAGGTGCAGTTTGTGATTGACGCCGTGTACGCCATGGGCCACGCGCTGCACGCCATGCACCGTGACCTGTGTCCGGGCCGCGTGGGGCTCTGCCCGCGCATGGACCCTGTGGATGGCACCCAGCTGCTCAAGTACATCCGCAGCGTCAATTTCTCAGGTGGGGGCGCCACCCAACCCTGGGGAAGGGGTCCTGGGGCTTCATGGGGTGGGAGTGCGCGGGGGTCTCTTCAGGTGCTTCCAAGGGGTTCCATACAGAGGTGTCTCTGACCTGGGCTCAAGATCCTTCCTGACTCTGGGTGAAGGCTCAGCAAAGAAGCTGAGTGTGTGACCCCCACGGGCCCCCGCAGGCATCGCGGGGAACCCTGTGACCTTCAATGAGAACGGAGACGCACCTGGGCGCTATGACATCTACCAGTACCAGCTGCGCAACGGCTCTGCCGAGTACAAGGTCATTGGCTCCTGGACTGACCACCTGCACCTCAGAGTAAGCACCTGGTGGGAGGGCAGCGAGGGGTCCCGGGGGGCTAGGCGGCGGAGAGAGGCCACCCCAACCCAGGGAGGGGAGGCCAAGGGGAGGCAGCTGCCGACTAGCCCTGCCCCCTGGGTTTGCTGCGGCCAAGTTGGGGTTCCTTCCATGTCCCACCCTAGACCTCAGAGGGCCCTGAGCCCCCCAACCCTGAAAGAGAAGAACAGGGTGGCTGGGCTTCTGCTGCCCTTCCTGCCCCTGCCCTTTCCCTTGGCCTGGGGTCTTCTTGCCTGCTGCCCCTTCGCAGGGCAAGAACTCTGGATAGATGAAGTCATGCTGGAGTTCAGGGGCTCAAAGTTTTGGGGGGGTTCGGGGGGGGAGAGAGGTGAGGAAGGGGAGGGCTGCGTCTGGACAGAGGAGGACGACGTCTTAAGGCAAAGAGCACAGCCTGCTGTTCTCTAAGAATGAACTCTCCTAAGAGACACTTTTTTTTTTTTTTTTTTTGGTTTTTGGGCCCGGGGAGGGGGGTTTTTTTTAATTTTTTTTTTTATTTTTTTTTGCTTTGTTGGGTTT